CCGATGGCTAATTCATGCTCTCCCGCCAAAACTATCTCTCTTTTTATCAGTAAGATGGCGCCTCGACCCCGCTCGAGGCGCGCGCTCTGCTCTGATTGGTCGTTACTTAGGAAGTCAAATTCAAATTATCAATAATTCTAATAAATCAAATTAAGAATTTTAAGTGTGACAAATCAGTTTAAATTAATTTAGGCATTTTAAAAAGTGAATATAAAACAAATAAAAATTAATGTGCGTTATGCAATGCAAGTAACAATTAACTCCCAGCTTCCTCCGACATATATAAAAGAAAGTCGTGTTAGTTACACTATTTATAACTCAAGAACGCCTCAATCTAGCTAGAGGTAGCTTAGAACCAGGAGACGGACATAGGATACTTTTTATAGAATACTTTTTTTTACTTTTACCGAAAATCACGTACGAAGTCGCGGGCAGAAGCTAGTATAATTTAAATGAAAAGTGCAAATGCAAAAGTACTAATAAAGAGAAGCCCGACCGACCGATAATATTGTTTGTTTATTAGTTTATTACTCTGTAGGTAAGGCAATTTCGTTGATTATTGTATCTTTGTCTAAAATTTGAAATATATCCCTCTTTTATAAAAACGGGATGTTTTTTCACATAAAAAAAGTCATTCAGATATATGTGTTCATGATTTAAGGAATATCTAAACCAGACTAATGGAGTTGTGGCTAGACCAGCGACAAGCGGACATGGCCCTAATAAGACGCACCTTAAACCGGCGCACAAGCTGAAGCAGACTGGCTTCTACTTCTACCGAAACGACCACATTTCGTCATCAGGGATTGCCTACAGAGGACTGGCAATCCTGGTCAGGAGAAGAATCGTCCACCAGCTACTGCCGGGGCCAACGTTTTGTGTGTACTATGCACTGGGCCTGGAGATCAACCACCAGCCGACCCGGTGTTCTGATTTTGTAGGCCGCTGCAATTTCAAAATTTATTGCAGCCGCCTGCTTGACGATGCAGACCTCCACAACTATGTGATGCTTGGACCAGAGCCCTCGACGCTCTACCTAAGTCACCGGCAGCTGATGCCTGACGTCATACCCGGAGGCTTGGTACAAGTTTCTTGTACGTTTAAAGAGATCGAACTGTCAACTGTGACGTCCTGGACGATCATCTCCGGTCAAACTACCAGCCAGTGTGTCTGACTATTGAGGACGTCCGCAGCACCTGCGACCTCTTTCCTCACCCCCACGGCGGGACTGGCGCACCTTTGCCGCTCATAAGGCGCACCTTTGCCGCTCACAGGGCGCTAAACTCGGCGTCGTACCGTGTCGACACAACCGCAGACGTCGATCGACTCGCCGTTGACTTCGCCGCGAGTGCTCAAATAAGAATATATTTTAGATAGCGCCTAACAAAATGATACCAGCAATACTTCACTATCTCCGTTCGGTTACGGTTGATAGACTTGGTTCTGTTTGCTGTCGATTCCTTATATTGTCATCTATACTAATATTATAAAGAGGAAAGATTTGTATTTTTGTATGTTTGTAATGAATAAACTCAAAAATTACTGGACCAATTGCAATAATTTTTTCACCATTAGAAAGCTGCATTATTCAGAAGTAACATAGGCTATATAATATCGCTAGGTCCTATAGTTGTGGAGCAGTAACCAAAAATGTTTTAAAAACGGGGAAAAAGTATCGTTTCTGAGGCCTTCCGTGGCGTGCGCTGAGCATATAGTTAAAGTTATACAAAAATGCTCTATACAGAAACTCAGGCAATGTGATGGGAGTAAGTATTCATTTACTTCCGGAAAAATATTTTCAAAAGGTAAATACTTCCTAAATAAAAAAAAACTGAGAATAAATATAAATAAAACGTAAAACTATGTAAAAAATCTTAAGTCCCCCCGTGCGAAGCCGGGACGGGCCGCTAGTAACAGATAACTTACGTATCATTTCTGGCGAAAGAAAAAAAGTTATTCATGCCAATAGTTTGCAATGGTCTTTTATATATTATGTAGGTACAGGTCATCGTCATCAATCAGGTACAGAGTTACAGACTACACAGGTAGTACAGGTACCTAATTATATTCAAACAAATTCACCCATCAATGCAATAATTTCCCCATAAGTGATTGATGCTTCGGCCGAAATGGGCCGGCTCGAGTGATACCATGTCCTAGCGGAAAACCGACGTGAAACAACGCTTGTGTTTCGCCGTGTGAGATTACGGGAGGCCCAATTAACATCAAAAGGCCGGTAACGCACTTGTAACGCCAACGCCAGGTGTCCATGGTCGACGCCAATTGCTTACTATCAGGTGATCCGTCTGTTCGTTTACCAGCTTATACCATAAAAAAATAAATTTTATTTTTTTGTAAAAATGATGATATATCAGGCCTGATAAGTCAGGTCTTTTTTGCCATAGCTGGTTCTAATTTTCGGTAAGACTAGTAAGCTAGGTCGTTGTGTGGTGCGTTCATTTATGTGTTTATGTTCTGTGATAGTTATGTTTGGTCGACAACTTTTGCTGAGTATTTTTTTATAAAGATAAATAGAACTTAAATTTTACTTGCCTAAAATAAGTTATTTCAAGAAGAAATCCTTGCAATATTTCTACTGCACTTGTCTGTGAACTAGGATAAGGCGAGGAAAATATTCGACACATGTTATAAAAAGAAATAAAACCAAAAAAGTTGCTTATAAAATTTATTAAATATTACAAAAGGCACTGTAACTTAATACTGGTCCTATAAAATATATAGCGTTCGTTTGTGATGGTTTAGGCATAACAGTTATTGTAACAATGCTTTATTGCTTCTATTACTTAAGATATATTTAAATATACAGTTCGATTAGGCAATATAATTCACCTTTGGGGCATTTTGACCCCAAAAAGCCCCTTTAGACATGACCCCAGTCTCAAATATTGTTTGGATACCTATCTATTTAAAAATAAGATTCCTATACTATCAGAAATTATTGTCAGTGATACATGGAATGTTAAACTAGTCTTGATCAGTGCCAAAGTATTATGCAAAATGTTTACATGTCGTGTAATATGTATACTTAAAATAACAATATAATGTTATACTAAAAATGTGTATTTACAAGCGACCTTATGACAGGTACTTAAAATGTTAATTCTAAGCATATTATAACAGTAATTCATAGTTTTTTTCTATGTATCGGACATATTTCTTGGTGACGGCAAAATATTGTTTTTTTTTAACTGAAAGATAGTTTTCTTGGGAATATGGAAATATGTCGGAAACATTCTTATATGATAAAATATAAATACTTAAAAAGCAATGCCGAGTGTTTCCCTACTAAAATATCCATTGGGGGTCAAAAGATATCGTCTGAGGGATTTAGACCCCGTTTCTAAGCTCTGATCTAAACGCCCCAATTGGCGAAAGGGGTCATAAAGACTGCTAAGTGTCAAAATCTTGTAAGTGGACTATAGATAAAATAAATATTATTAATAAAATATAAAATAGCAAAAATATAAGAAATAAAGCTTTATTTGTATAAAATGGAATGACAATAAAATGCTTACAATCTCAATGTTGGTTTTGATCGTTTTGCTAAAATTTTGAGTTAAAAACATCACATAAATAAATTAAAATAGTATAACAACATACTAAGATTCTACTCGAAAATATTTTTAAAATGTCCGTTCTGAAGATGACAGTCGCTCCATGTAAAATAGTGACATACAGAATTTGATTAAGACTCAGTGTCGACTCAAACTACGTTGGACAAAAATTGTGTTGGAAATATTCATAAAAGCGTACTTTACTTAAAATAAACTATATTTCATAAAAAATAATACAAGATTCGGAAATTACTGACACGAGAGAATGTTCATAAGATACTTTAATATCAAAATTTATAGTTATTTCTATTTTAATTAAAACTTAAGGCCTCTGTACAGCAGTCATATTTTAAGGCTTTTTATTTCTTTATTTCATTAAACTCAGTCATAACAGTTTGAAGATATGTGAAATCATATTTTATGGGGTCATTACTCCCAAAAAATGTTTTAATGTATATTCATAAAAATATACATAAGAAAACAACGCTACGTGGCAATTTTTAAACGTTTTCATAAAAAAATCATAAGACATCGAATTTTTCGCAAAATATCTGGTCCAGCCATAATTTAAAATGTTATAAAATCTATAACTATTGTAGGCGATAAGACTACATACATATTTAAATATTATTTATATAAAAAATATATCGAGACGTTTAACCATGTTAAAATATTTTTTTAATCCTAAAATGTGCCGTTTTGAAGCCATTTAACTGGCAGTATACAATTATTGCCTAAGGGAATAGGCAGAGATGCACAAATACAATGTAACACCCATTTTAACCGGTTATGTTATGAGTACCATGTAATAACAATAAGACTGAGTGCAAATTTTAATTAGTACCATCAAAAGTTCACATTAAATAAGTTAAAATTTTAGTACAAAATGCGTAAAAGTACAAAAACATTGCAATTTTTACATTATAAATGTTTTTAAAAGGTGACAAATTCGTGTATCTATACTAAGGGCACGATTGCATAATATTTGATTGGTTTTTTATTTTAATTAGTTAAAATGACTTAACAATAGAATTGCAAGTTTTAAACTGATATGGGATGACGGCATTCAATTATTTTGTAGAATGTGATTGTGTACAAAAATTGGAATGTTAACTTTTTATGAGATTTTGACATAATAATCTCAAGAACACAAGCATCACAAGGGTCAACCTTCTTGAAATTTTGCATACATTTTGCTGGAATTACAGAGGACATAATATGAAAATACATATGAAAGTATAAAACACTTTTCATACCAACCACATACAACAAAACAATTACATTGCCATTGGGGGTCTTTAGTCCCGACATCAGTTGTCGAAATGGGGTGCAGCGTTGTGGGTCGCTAGTTCTACGTAGTTAGCTGGGAGCATGCCGGTCCGGCCCGTACGTAGAACCTGGCCGGTCATCCAGCCGGAGTCGATTGATGTTACGTTCGAGATTAGGTCGCCTTCGCGGAATGATACCTGTAAGAGAAGGCATTATTATACATATTGCGCTTGAACAGCTGTTTTTGAAGTGGAATATATTTCATTTTCGTCCCGAAGTAAAATGGTTCTGTCTCTGTAATACTGCAGTTTTACAAAGAAATACAATGCTTAAAACAAAAAATATGTGGTGAACCATTGCAAAAAGTAAGCTTCGAGAGTGCATACGAACTCATACTATATAACCAAAACATCACGCCATGTAATTCTGGAAGAGGTATTTTTTTGGTAGTAGTGCTGTCACCAACGCGACTATTGACGACGACTATTCTCATGGGTGATGAGATCTCAGATATAGTTTCTAGGCGATTAAACTATTCCATTTCGATTCAATAGTACGTAATTTCGAATGTGGGTCGGTGCAAAGATTTTAGAATTACATCTGACTGGCTTCTGCCTGCGGCTTCGTTCGCGTTCCCGTGGGATAAAAAGTGGCTTATGTGTTATTCCAGACCAGAAACTACACCTTTTCCAAATTTCATCCCGATCCCATCAGCCGTATTCACGTGAAAAAGTAACAAACACACATACATCCTCACAAACTTTCGCATCTATAATATTAGTCGAAAGTAGAATAACTGCTAATAAGGTTTCTAAGTCTAGAGATGAAGATAGGCTTACCTCATCACTGTCGCTCGCTTCGTAGTCGTACATAGCAACGTACACTCGCTGGAAATAAAACAAATATATCGTTGAAAATCGATTGATCCGTAAGAAACTATTTTTATCATCATCAACAGCCTTTAAGTGGTCACTGCTGACCAATGGCCTCAACTTAAACAGAGAAGGTTTGAGGATTGTTTACCACGCTTGCGCAATGCGGGTTGGCGATTTCAAACTTATAATTAGACATTATAAGCCCAGGTTTCCTTCACCGTTTGTCAGTGGTGTCTAAATAATACATATGACTTGGAAAAGTCATATAGGTACCATTGGTGGTTGCCGTTCGTAGGTTTCGAAACCGCACTCTCATGCATGAGATGCGGGCGTCTTAATCCTCCGCGTCACCACGACTACAATTTTTGTGTGATCCACAAATTACTCTTCCGGGTTTTGGCGTATTGCGTGTGTGAAATTATATATTTGTAAATGCACCTACACACACAAAAGAAAAGCATAACATGGGGAAATGTTTAAAAGTCGAATCTCTTAAGGTACCTTTTTCGCGAATAACTTCGAAATGTTTACCTGATTGTGATGATTAGTAGGCGGGCGTGGCATTTCATTGGCGAGTGGATCGAGGTCCGTCACGCGGCCGATCTGGCGCGTCTGTTGCTGCTGGTGCCCTGATTGCTGGTGAGCACCTGAGTGGCGTGAAGATATGTTGGTTAATGTCATCATTAGACTGTTTCTGTTTATATGTATAACAAGCTGGATTTTACAGACCAGATTCTGTATACAAGCTGGAATCTGGACCTCTCCAGCAGCCATTAAATATTAAAATTAGAATAGTTCACGTCATTCACAAAATAACTACTATTTTCAGTATAAATATTAAGTTTTAAATGGAAAATAATCTAATTATTTAAGTCTCTTTTAAGTGGAATATTATAGAAATTATAGTTAAAATAACCCAAAACCAAACACAGACACATAATGTAATGAAAACAAAAAAACGAATGAAACATAAAAATGGAATGATACCAATAACATTTAGAATAGGGAATGTAAGAAATATTTGGATATCTGACTTATATTTTTACAACACAAATAACATTCAACATAAAAAAATATTGCCCTAATTATAATGACAAAAACACGATATTAATGTACAAAAATCAATATTTAAAACTCCTTTTCACTAAAATAAAATAACCCACAAAAGTTAGACCCCAAAAAGCCCCTAGCCCCCAAAAAGAACGAATCAATCCACCCTAACATAAAATATCACACCCAATATTTCCAATAATGGGTGTGATATTAAAATAAAAAAAATAGGCAAATATCCAAATGTAGTACAAATCACAAACCTCGTTTGCCATCGTTTGTGCTATTATAGATAAGTGTAGCGGAGGCCCTCTGCGTGTTCGGTGGGGCCCTGGGCCCATCACTGATGGGGTCATAGTCCTGAATCCTCCCTATTTTCTGTTGTTGACTCTGTTGCTGCGGAGGCGGCGGATAATTCTGATATTGATATTCTTGATATTGAGGATAGTATTGACTCTGATAGTCCGGATATTGTTCTTGATATTGCCTGTTTTGCTTCGGCTGGGTCTGGGTGGGTTGGACAGGGGGCTGGTATTGGGTAGACGGGATCTGATAGTGGTTTTTAGGGGGTAGGTTAGGTGGGGGTGAGTTTGGAGGCAGCATTTCCGTCGCGTAGTTGTCGATTTGTTGATGATAGTTGTCCGATGGTACGTCTAATGAGGAACAAGTATTAGAAACATGTGTGTGGGGAAGGAAAAATAACATTTTGTTGTTCTATTGGTCTGTTTAGCTCGATAAGATATTACTTTTTCTTAGTTTTAGTAGTACAAGAATTGCCACATTACATTAGGTACCTAGTCTAAAAGACTTTATGCAAGTTACACCCAACTAGTATTTCAAAAATTCAATATATTCAATAGCATGACATGAAAGTTAACACATTTTTTATCTAAAAAACGGACCAAAGTCGCTAATCAGAGTGATTACCCAACCCAATGAATAAATTAGAATTCGAAACTGCAATCACTCAGGAATCATATCCCGGACTTAGCTGTCAAGCGAATTTCCAAATATCAAACCAATGAAGTAATTAAAAATATTGATAATCACTTGTAATGTTATTTTTCCGTTTTTCGACATGGTAGTTAGCAACATATGATCAAAACAAAAAACCTTATGATTGAACATAGACACAGTTTGTGCAAACAGGATATGTTTTAAAATAGCAATTTGATTGTCAGAGCCTTTATTATACGTTTTATCCGACTTCCAATTAAAGAAATATTTTGAAACTGTACATGATATGGTTTTTCTTAATAAAAAGCAGAAATTCGGACACAATGTTTAAGAATTTGTGAATCGATAATCTAGAAAAAATATTTATTTCATTGTTATGAATATACACTTTTTTTTGAAGGGGTAAAGACATCCAATGACTTCTCCTAACCGGGTGAGGCGAGAGGGAGTGTCATACTCTTACTGACTAAAAACCACCCCATTCCTACTCCGGAGGAGCAAAGAAATGGAGCCAATAGCATTTTTTAATCTTATTGAACACTTTATAATTAAAAAAAACTTCTACAACAAAATGCTCTCATTTTAAAGGTAACCAAATTGCCTTGTATACTACATACGTTACCAATTAATAAAATACTTGTAACAGATAATATTTATCAAGAAATGAAAAAAAAAATAGTGTAGTGGCATGATTTTTTGATTCCAAGTGTAGGTAGTTCAGAAAAGGAGGATCCTTTCACTTGGAGAACTACTGTCCAACAGTTTATTGAAATTATTGAAGTTGATACTACTGTCCAATAGTTGTATATTGGGATTATAAAAGTTGATAGATTTCATAAGAATGAGGTGAAACTTTTTTTTAATTTTTTATTTTTATACCATGACGGTGGTGGTAAGAAGAGCAAACGGCCAACCTGATGGTAAGTGGTAACCGTGGCCTATGAACGCTTGCAACACTTACTACAACAACAACAATATATATAAACAACATATATAATCGGGGAACAATATATATAATCGTCCATGCAAGTTTCAGCTATTGCGACCGTTTCTTGATTACTGGCTTCTTCTATCAAGGGCTCTCAAGTGGCTAGAAAATCCAGCTTTGTTTATAAATATTCTTCCACAGCGTGGACGCTACATTTGGGGCACTACAAGCAGTAGTTATATGGTAATCCTTCTCACAAAATACCCATAACTTAACATAACATCACGTCTTTTATCCCCGAAGGGGTAGGCAGAGGCGTACATTATGCAATGTTACACCCACTTTTCACTATTTATGTTATGAGTCCCATGTAATAGGGGGTGAGCCTATTGCCATATACCGGGCACAATTCCAAACTCCGTGCTACTACTGTGCATTTTTGAAAAACCCAGCAATACTTTGCCCGACCTGGGAATCGAACCCGAGATCCCTTGCTCGGCCAATGAGGCAGTCAAAATACCCATATAATAAAATACTTATATTTGTTACGGATATTTTATGATAAATAAATAAATAAACTATTAATGAAATAGTGTACAACGAATAGTTAACTAACAACTTGCTCTGACGATCACACCGCTATTGAAAACGTTGTGAATTGAATATTAATGTGATGTAGATTGGATCTGGATAATGCTTTATTAATCGTTTGATTAATTAATCTGGCGTTATGATATAATATGGTACAAACCACTTGTATAGTTGATATTGTTTAATTTTTTATGGAATTGTAGGCAAACGAGTAGACTGATCACCTGGTGGTAAGCGATCAGCGCCGCCCATGGACACTCGGAACACCAGAGGAGTCACTGGTGCATTGCCGGCCTTTTAAAAGGTATACGAATACTTTCCTAATGACATAACATAACATCACGCCTCTTATCCCCGAAGAGGTAGGCAGAGGTGTACATTATACCACTGTACAATGTAACACCCACTTTTCACTATTTATATTACGAGTCCCATGTCATAGGGGGTTGTATAACGTTGTATTCTATAGTATAAATAAATAAATACATTTAAAGACAAAACTTATTTTTCCTTTCGACCATTAATGGGTCTAAACCAAAACAATCTTCAATTTCGAAGTCAGAACTAAGCATTTCTAATTGTAGTGTGTTAAAAATCATGAATCCAGATCCAACCCACAAACATTGGTGCCAACAGCCAACAGCAAACATAACCAACACGCCACGTGACACACAAACAGACAAACATTGGCCACTCACCGACAATCTCACCGTTCTCATTGATCTGCCGCTGCTTCTCCATCTGAGCCTTCTTCTCCAGCTCGCCGTGGTACGCCACGTTGCTGATTATTTTTGTGTTCGCTTTAATTCGTAGGGTTTCTGGGTCGTCTGCGACCTGGAATAATTAGGGTTAAGATTTTGATAAGTATTCAGTGATTAGATTTCGACCAGATGGACTAAATCGACGAGTATGCTTAAAGATTATTTTTAAAGAGTAGTGAATGGAGGTCTCATTCTTCTCCACTCGAATCTACATTTTGGAACGAGCGCCTAGCTTCACTGACGGACAGACTGACAGAGTTAATTTTATATTTGTTGACGTTTCAAAAGTCTCAAATTATGGTTTAATTGAAATAAATGCTTGGGTTTGAGACTTATATAGGATGGCGGTTTTAGCGGCAGCTGCGGCAAACGAGCAAACCTCCCAAAACCGCTGCAACTCCTATAAGCCAGGATCTACAGTAGATACAACCATGAAAACACCAGAACACTGAAGTCCGGCGCGTCTCAGGGACAGGGCAAACGAGCAGTTGGGTATCAGGGTATCAAAGCAGTAAACGAGCTGAGAGATCACCTTATAGTAAGCAATCAGCACCACCCATGGACACTCGCAATACCAAGTTTTTTTTTTATGGAATAGGAGGCAAACAAGCAGACGGATCACCTGATGTATAAGAAATGCGTTGTTGACGCTCTATGGGAGAAGGGATTAGGTATCTGGTAATCTCACTCACACGGCTGTAAACAGCACTTGCATTAGACACCTACAACATCAAAAGAGTAACAAGTCCGTTGCTGGCATGGCCTTTTGAGGAAGCCCGGTTTGGGTCTCCAGTAATGCTTCAGTAGTTTCATGCCAGTGTTCTGTGAGGCCGTGAGCCGGCTTATTTGTGTCTAAGCATGGCTCTCCAACTTCTAACAAAGTGTAGTAGCAGCGCGACAGTCACCGCGTCGCGGGTCGCGAAATGCTGCGCATGAATATGAGCCTCTAGCATGGCTTGAAACTAGTCGAGTTCTGGTCAAAATATTACGTGAGTAAGCCGGAAATATAATAATTTATTTAGTATGTCTCACGAAAGTTACAATACAAATATTCTAACAAAGTGTATGTAAGCATTTACCTGTGTGAATTTCCCCTTGCTCTTCTCAAAGTCGGCGTGGTACTTAACGTTGCTCTGTATCTTCGTGTTCTCGGCTATTCGCTTCAGCTCCGGCGTTTCAGCCATCGTCGTGTGCTTCGCTTTCGGAACATGTCTGGAAGACAATTTTATGCTTATTAATATAATGGTTACTTTATTATTTAATGTGCTAAAATACTTAGTCAGGGTATAATAAATGGAGGACTAAGGGAATTCTAGTAAAAGCACATGTGCACAAGACGCCCCGTCCCAATGTAACGGTTCACTGCTAAAAGCCTCCTCTGCAATAGGGTAGTTTCCAGGGTAAGAAAATTAAAAATATAATTAGTCCGTCAGTTAGATAATGAAAAAATATTAAACACGTATTTTTTTATTTACTCGTATAAAGTTATAATACTTAGAGATAAAATGGAGTTAAGTTTAGGAGTGGAAGGTAATTATGCCACAACGTGCTACATTTTGTAGCACGCTGTGACGTCACACGACATTTCAAATCAATATATCGTCGAAAGCATTTAATTTTGTGAGAAAAGAAAAAATACGTGTCTAATGTTTTAAAACAACCTACCAGATGGACATTAAAATAAAATTTAGGAAACTACCCTATTCTGCATAAAAGAGTTTTGTCAAACTTTCCCATTTTTGGCAAAGAGAGTTCACATCGATCATAGTTCATTTATGGTTCAGGTTTATCAGGAAGCGATTACTGTAAAATGTGTAGTTCCTTACGACCAATCTCATTAACTTAAGTATCTGTAGATCTAATGACCAAATCTAGAGATTAGCCGGTTTTGTTTTTTTTAAGAGGAGAAATCATCGAGTGACTTCTCCCGCCTGGATGAGGCGGGAGGGAGTGTCAGACTCTTACTGACTAAAAACCACCCCGTACCTACTCCTGCCCTTCGAGCCGGAGCCCCGGCAACCCGTTAAGTCCTCCGCGGCTACGTATCGGCATCAACCCTATTAGGCCCCATCCATGGAGAGATTAGCCGGTAAACTCGCGTATAAAGCAGTCACTAACACAAAATTGACAACTCACTAAACCAACAAACAGAAAATCAACCTAAATACAATAAAACGTCGGATTAGTTTTCGCTATTTGCTGTAAAAGTGTGTACAATTTGTATTGAGTAACTTTCATTATTGTGACGTCACGCTGGTATTCAAGTAATTTTCATTTTACGTCACATCGTGATTACGGTGTAGGTACACCGTAAACATTCTTCTTCTTCTTCGTCTTCTTCAAACAGTTACATGAGTAGGCCGAATACATAATAATTAACTGTGTATAGGTGTCGTGGTGAGCTGGAAGTTTAAGACGCCTACTTCTCATGCATGAGGGTGCGGGTTCGAAACCTACCAACGGCAAGTAGCAACGTGACTTTATCTGAGTTATATGTACTTTCTTAGATTATTCAGACACCACTGACTAACAAAAAAAGAAAACATCGTGAGGAAATCTGGGCTTATAATTCCTAATTATAAGTTTGAAGTCACCAACCCGCATTGAGCAAACGTGGTGATTAACCTATTATCTGCTCTTATATGAGACACAATAGAAAACACATTGTATCTCGCGTAGGTATATCTACGCTCTCGGCATACCAGGGGTTAATGCTCAAACCTTCTCCGTGTGAGAAGAGGCTTTGTTCAGCAGTGAACATTTATAGGTTGTTGATGAACTGTATATAAAGTCGAAATAGCAGGTGTAGCTTACAAAACCCACTAAAATAATCACTAATACACTATCAAAATTGCAGAGAAAGCGTAAACGTTCGATTACGTGTCCCTGACCTTACCCAACGTGCGCGTGAGTTGCGTACCGTGTCATAATTACACCGTTGTGCATATTAACGATAAATAAACACTTAGTATTTGCATATACAGACATATATTGTGTGCTATGTATTATTGTTGAGTTTAAATCTAAGATGAATGTAGAGAGAAAATTTTACAATTAAATTATTATGTTTTCGGCTTACTTACGTAATAATTTGACGAGGAACTCGACTAGTTAGTAGCAGCGCGACAGTCGCCGCGTCGCGGGTCGTGAAATGCTGCTCATGAATATGAGCCTCTAGCATGGCTTGAAACTAGTCGAGTTCCTCGTCAAATTATTACGTGGGTAAGCCGAAAGCATAATAATTTATTTAGTATGTCTCACGAAAGTTACAATACAAATTTTACAATTAACAATTTTAAACTACTTGCTTGTGCCAGCGGTTGCTCCCGCGGTGCTCGGAAAAAAAATAGTCAATGTGTTATCCCAGATTATAATAGGTATGTCAGATTTCGTTCAGATCAATTCATTAAAGAGTAACAAACATACATAGATCCATATTTCCTTTTATAATAGTAGTGACTAGCACTTAAATCGGCGTCAACCAGTTTGTGAATTCGAAACAAATTCCAAAATCCATCTAAATAAAACCTTTTACATAATAGCGACTAAAAACTACACCAGCGCCATTTTTCGCCATGCGGGCGCGGGCGTGACAATAACAAGTTTTTACTGAATAATTGTCATGAGAATCAGGCCAAGGTTTGCGAGTGACGGGTCTATAAATACATTCCATCCATTGATGACAAACAGACTGCAAGTGCTAATAAATGCAATATTACAGACCTCTTGCTAGGGACGTGAAATTTGAAGTCTGTATCGATTTACTTATACACATATTTGTGTTCTCAGGAATCTCATATTAGGAGATTCGTAATCAAATTTTTTAATTATAGTTGACGGAGTTTTTGGATTTATTAAAGACTAGCTTCTGCCCGCGACTTCGTACGTGCATTCCCGTTTTCTCCCGTTTCTGTAGGATTTTCAAGATTTTTTTTCTGTCATAAGAACCTTCTCCTGACAATAACAAACACAACATTAAAAGAGTCGTTCTCAAGTTATGCCGTGACAACGGGAAACGAGTTTCATTTTTATATACAGTGAAACCTGGTTAAGTGAGACATCAAGGGACCTGCAATGTCGTTCCACTTATAGAGGTATTCCACTTACCCAGTGTCTTAGATATACAGGTATAAATAAATATTTGTCTCATTTACAGAGGGTTCCATTAATAGGGGTGGACTTGGAATTACGTGTGGAATTTGTGGGTAGAATAAGAATGAGTAAACAAACAATGTTATCTCAGTTATAGAGGTTTATGCATATAAAATTTACTCGCTGTTTCAGTTATAGAGGTAACTATGATGATAAATTGGAAGAACAAATCCCAGATATAGCGGTTTACCTCGTCCCACTAACAGAGGTAATTCAGTGCCAAGCGTTGGGACCTCAGCATGAGTTCCAGTTATGGAGGTTTTTCACTTAGCCAGGTCCCACTTAACCAAGTTTCACTGTATATAGATGTTTTGCTTGAGTATAGTCAACACGAGTTGTCGTTCGACGTGGAGGACTAAGAGTCCTTTGTCCAGCAGTGTACGTCTTTCGGCTGTTGATGATGATAATGATAATCAGCACACAGCCCATAGCTGGATTATGGTCATCTTTTTTATAAGAGTTTGTCATCTTTAACTCTTGATAGGTGGACTGGATATCGCAGTTAAATTCATTCCGGTAAGGTTCAGGTTTATCAGGGAGTGGTATATCAAATGTATTGTTTATAGGGTCTTAATCGAACCTGCGAAAAAAGTAGAGGTGAAATAACGTATTTTACATTACCCGTACCAAACGGGGATTTAAAACTAAACCATTCTACACTATTAACCTTTCGAATGCACCGATATGAAATACAATAGAAAATACATTGTGTCTCGCATGGATCCACGTCTAGACACACGAAAGGTTAATTTAAGAACAGAACTACCTCGTTGGCCGAGTTGACGCATGTGAGACTGCCGGGCAAAAGGTCTCGGGGTTCGATTATCGGGTAGGGCAAAGTATTACTGGATTAAAAAAAAATCTCTGTCGTAGCACGGAGTCTGGAATTGTACCATGGGACTCATGATAGAAATAGTGAAAAGTGGGTGTTACACAGTACAGTGGTATTAAGTGCCGTAATGCCTACCTCTTCCGGGATAGAAGGCGTGATGTTATGTTATGTTTAGAATTAAAATTAAAACCATAGTCACAAAAACATCGACATAAACCCAACACTCGGTTACTTAAACCAATACCATAACAGGATAAAATATGCATGTCGTTGCATAATTACTTGAACAAGTTGTTCACCAGTCACTCATTTACATTGAAATCAGACCGTTTTGACGTAACACACGTAACAAACATGTTTGTAATTGATTTCGTCATACCGGAATGTCTATTATTAGCTGTTTATTAAGCATTGTGGCTGATTCTGATTGGAGGTATGGATATTAAACAGTGGTTGGATGAGAAGAGCTGAAGACCGAGCTCAGTGGCGTGCCATTGGAGAGGCCTATGTCCAGCAGTGGACTAATACAGGTTGATGATGATATTAACTCGTCGAGTACAGTCATTATAGACACAATTATAGAACAATAGGTTGCGGTCACCGGTGACCGCTTGGTGTTTGACAGTTTAAACAGTTCTTGCACGCAGTTTTAGTAAAAAGGTGAAGTTTCGTAACGTCTTCGTAATTTTTGTAGGAGATGACGGAACGAATTTGATACCAAGACAAAGATTTGCACAGAATGCTTTTAGGATTAAAATAAATCATCAAATTCCTAATCCCTAAAAGGCCGGTAACGGCGGTAACGCACTTGTAACGCTCTCTCTGGTGTTTTGGGTGTCCATGGGCGACGCCGATTGCTTACCATCAGGTGATCCGTCTGCTCGTTTACCGGCTTATCCTATAAAAAAAGAATGGAGGGGAGGTTTCTTTTTAAGGGGGGAAAGTCATCGAATGACTGCTCCCGCCTGGGTGAGGCGGGAGGGAGTGTCAGACTCTTACTGACTAAAACCCACCCCGTTCCTTCTCCTGCACGTTGAGCCGGAGCCCCGGTTACCCGTTAGGTTCTCCGCGACGTGGGGGGGCCTTAGAGTGAGTCGATCACGGATGAGAATCTCCTGCACGTCGAGCCGGAGCCCCAGTTACTCGTTAGGTTCTCCGCGACGTGGGGAGGCCTTTAGAGTGGGTCGATCACGGATGAGAATAATAACTAATAACAACTTTGTAATTTTTGGTTGTTGAAGGGTGGTAATAGAGCATTTAGGTACATTTACGAGGACGAGAGTAGAAACTCTTGCTAGCACTGAGTTTGACATAGGCAGAATAACTTGCAAACTTTTGTCTACAACTTAAAAAATATAATTACGCATACCACTTGCTAGAACGTTAATTAAATTACGTTGCTATTGATTAAAAACCACAAATCTTCACAAAAACAACATATAAACAAACACCTCCATTTGCGCATATACGCATGATTCACGTAATGCAGTGTAGCATAACAAATTACGTCGTGTTTATGAGTAATCTAGTGTGAGTAACAATACTAATACAACTAGACACACTGTGTTGTTAATTGTAGGTCTGTGGAGTACCATCATCATCGTAAACAGGAGTATTTTTTTATTGGATAAGCCGCTAAACGAGCTTGTGGATCACCTGATGTTAAGCAATCAACGCCGCCTATGGACACTTGAAACATTAGAGGCGTTACAAGTTCGTTACCGACCTTTTGGGAATTGGGAATATGAGGATTGTGGGGGATTTGGGAAACTAGGGAGGGGGCGGTAATTGGGCCTCCGATAATCTTACCCATACGACGAAACACAACGCAAGCGTTATTTCACGTCGGTTTTCTGCTCAGCCGTGGTATCGCTCCGGTCGAGCCGGCCCATTCGTGTCGAAGCATGGCTCTCCCACACAGAGTACGTCTAGTCAGAGTATGTCTAGGTACTGCTGAACAAAGGCTGAACTCTTAAAAAAAGATTTGCCATTCATTTTGTGACATAGGGGCAAACGAGTAGATGCATCACCAGTAGTAAGTGACAAGCTCTGCACAGTAAGTGACCTGAACAGCTCATGGGTCTCTACAGGAGGGCTTGACGGATCGGAATACATATTTGGCCTTTCTGAAGAACAGAACAATGGAATTTTTAGACAGCAACAGTTTGACATACCCCATTCGTTATTTCCAGATAAGGGAAGTTTCATGCAGTTTTCCAAGTTGGGATAAAAAAATATGAAAAACTGCATTGCATTCTGAAAAAATTGAAGTTATGTTCAGTGCTTAGGGCAGAGCCAAGTTGCTTTGCTGTTGGAATTTATTTCGTCTTGACATCGAAGGAAACAATAATATTTTTCAGACCTTATGAATCATGTAATTGACAATAGAAGAGGAAGGAAAATTCATTTCTTCGTCACCATTTCAGAGTTTGACACCACAAAATATATAAAGCAATAAATGGATGTCTCCAATGCTTGTTAATTCAGGTTCGCCTACGTAAATACATGACAAGTTCCAACTTGAATGAATATGTGAATCATCATAAAAGTCATATTAAGAATGTTTTTATAAAATACTTGTTTTCCATCCATAATTTTGAACTTAAACTAAAATTGAGTGATCGAGTGAAAAATAGTGTTATTAGAGAAAAGTGTGGATTGAAAGATGATGCACTACATCATCAATCACAAGGATTGAAAAGGGAATGTTACGCTGGTTTGGACATGTAGAAAGGATGGATGAGAGTAGAGTAACGAAAGAAGTATACAGAGCGGATATGAATGGGGCCGTCGGTAGAGGGAGCCCTAGACGGATACATAGTGACCAGATTGGCACTATATATTCAAGAAGGGCTAAATTACAAGTACCCTTAACCGACGAGCTTGCATGAATTGATGACTGGTGATGAAGCGAAAGAGGTATGTAGGAATCGTAGTAATTGGCATTCCCTAGTCTCTGCCTACCCCCATGGGAGACAGGCATGAAGTTATGTATGTACGTATGTAATTTTGAACTTACGAGCTCAAATAACTATTACTTTTACATTTAGCTTTCCTCAAGGATTATTCTATTGAAAACAGCATAAACATTTGTTCAGTAGTTTCTGAGTTGATGGTTTAGTCTGTTTATGATAATTAACAGACAGACAGGCATGGTGGAAGACAATAAGTTCCATACTACACAGTTTCTTTTCAATATACAATTAGAATTCAGAGTCAAAGGATGATCCGATCTTTGATTTTACATGAAATTAAATCTCATAACATACATTATTGGTGAACAATTGGTGCACCTCTACCTGCGCTCTTGGGGAATAAAAAGGCGTGAAGCTATGTTACCAACTAAACAAAATGTTCTAAACACGTTATTCAAATAAAATTTCGTTAGAAAACTATTAAATAAACGTGTTGGCGACCTTGACCTGTGCCGCGTGATATGAATGGGCCGAACCTTAACTGATTACCATTAGGTAATGGGTGTGAATTTACATAATTATAATGGAATGAAAGTAAAATTTTGTGGTCACTGGTTTGAATTTTAAGTTTAAATAAAACAATTCGTTTGTGGATTAAAACATTTGCCAGTTTCCGGACGATTTAAGTACTTAAATCATAGTCCCTACTACTTGCCCGTACGGGCTTTTTTTTTTAAGGGGGGAAAATCGTCGAATGACTGCTCCCGCCTGGGTGAGGCGGGAGGGCGTGTCAGACTCTTACTGACTAAAAACCACCCCGCTCCTTCTCCTGCACGTCGAGCCGGAGCCCCGGTTACCCGTTAGGTTCTCCGCGACTGCCCGTACGGGCTAAGTGCCTTTTTACATGTTCCGGTTGCCGGGTACCCAACGGCGCAGTGTATGGCCATGTACTGTAGCTTTCACACGTACCGGCGTAATTTGGATATAGTTATATCGGGTAGCTGGGGATATAGGGATGTAGTTATATCCCTAGGCATATAACTAGTATTACTGCTTTATCTATCTTACTGCAACATATACACTGCGCCACTGGGTACCCGGTACCGGCTATCCGGCAACCGGAACGTGTGAAAAGGCATTAACGGTAGAAATTAATGACCGATTTAAATTCAAAATCTGTAGACTTTTGACAGAAACTTCATTCAAACTCCAGTCAAAAACGGATTGAAATCGATTTTAATTAGGAGACTACAAAATAAATTTGACAGAAACAAATGGTAAACCCTCCTACGGAGAGAAAAAGATGCTCAAAGTTCTTGACTAAGAGTAAAGTTAGAAGTCATTGGGGGATAAGACGTCTACTGCTGAACATAGGCCATGACCAGGCCAGACATCTTGTTGCCAATATGACAATAGTGAGAAAATTTATTCATCATTTTTTTTGTTTAAAGCGGCCAACGTCTACCGTCACCAGCAACACCAGTGGAGTTACAAGTCTGTTGCTAGCCTTTTGGGGATTAGTTTTGAGGATTTTTAGGGATTTGAGAATTACAAAGGATTTGAAAATTATCAGGGAGTTGAGATGGTGGATTAATTAATTAAATGTTAATACTCACGCTTCGCAATATGGTAGCTTTCCATATCCTTTGTAGGTCCTCATGTTGAGAGTCATGCCACATTCTTGACATTTGAAGCAGCCTTTGTGCCATACCTATAATGGATAATGGTTTTATATTAATTATAATGTTTAATTTCATTAATTGTCTTGTCAAACACAGAGTTTAATTCCCAAACCAATACTTAAACCTTTCAAATGATTATTTATTGCTTTATTTAATGACTATGGGCCCCTAGCATGGCTTGAAACTAGTCGAGTTCACTCGTCAAACAGTTACATGAATATGCCGTAAAACATATTTAATTTAACATGTATGTATGTATGAGTTATAATACATACATACATACATAGGTACGCATAGGTAGGACAGTCAGTCATATTTCAAATTCAAAATAACATGTTTGTGGGCAAGTGCACTTTTCATATGAATATTACTATTTTAAAGGCTTAAAATTACTGTGCAATATACGATTAATTAACTTACATACGTAAATCCTAGGTGACTGACCAGCCCAAGTCGACATATGATAATTAAAATGGATATTCAGCACGTAACTTACATGCAAGTATTCAATACATACCGCAATCTATTGAGGAAAATTGCATTGCAATTACATTTTATGGGCGATTTTAGGTGTGTTTGTAAGTTATTGGTGTTTGAGTAGATTATATTTACATACGTTTATGATCATCGTTTTTCTTCCCGTGGGAAATATTAGAGGCTTTATATGTAACAGAGACAGGGCAGCAGTGCTCTCTGATCAACCTGGACCTTCCTAAACTTTTTAAACTGAGATCTCTAATCCGTCTATCAAGCGTGAAGATGATGATAAACTATCTAATTTATAAGAAGTATCTATGGCCCAGTAGCAGGCAGTCACAGACTAATATTGAAATAAGAAGATACTATATCCTCTGTTCTCCTCCTCCTCCGCACTGTGCTCACTAAAAGCATAGTATTCAAGTGTGGGACAGCCATGCTTCGGCACGAATGGGCCGGCTCGACCGGAGCGATACTGCGGCTTCACAGAAAACCGACGTGAAACAACGCTTGCGTTGTGTTTCGTCGTGTCAGGTTACCGGAGACACAATTACCCCCCTCCCCTCTTCCCCAATCCCTGAATCCCCAACAATCTTTAAATTCCTAATCCCAAAACGCCAGTAACGCACTTGCAAAGCCTCTGGTGTTCCGGGTGTCCAAGGGCGACGCCGATTGCTTACCATCAGGTGATCCGTCTGCTCGTTTACCGGCTTATATCATAAAAAGCTAACAATAGTAGATTACAATAATGTAACTCTACTAACAGACATAGACCAACGTGTAACCCAAAAAATTTTGGAAATCAAAAAGACAATAATATCATTCGCATCTAAAACGCAGGCTACAGTCCATTGGGCGTTGCGCAAAACGTTTTCGCAAACGTTGGCCCACTTCACAAGAGTATAATACAACAATTAGGTAACAATGCTGCGTCAATTGCTCGTTCGATGCTCCTTTTGTACAATATACATCGTGTGAAGTTGATTCTGAAGTATTTGGGTATGTCTTGTTTGATCTTCGGAGGAGAAAGGTGAAATAATTTGAGTTTTGGGTAAAAAGAAACAGTTTTGTAGGCGCATGTCTAGTTAGTTTTCGTTTAAAATTACTTTATTAAAATGTATGCAAGATGAACAACCTAGACTATGGACCTCGACTTTAAAAGAGCGTATGCCATAACCCCTACGCTTAAAGATTGCAGTTTAAAGAGTTGTAAATAATACTGACTCTGACTGAGTCGTTCCGTCAAAATTGACTTGTAGGTATTAAGTCACCGGGGAAGGCCTGGAGGATGCAAACAATGTCTAGTAGCTGACATGATGATGATGATGACGACGGAACATCAGACTGAGCGAAGCCAATACAATCCAGATGACAATAGATCCCAATTGTCGATGACTACAATACATAGGCCTCATAATTGTCTACCACTGTTACATCTGAATGACTCATAGTCAAAGGCACGAAATTATATTATTTTTAGAGCTCACACCATGAATGGCAAGCCATATGGCAGTACCACCTTCACGGTGCATAATAAAACAATTAGCCAACATTCCGACGTCAATAAACCGTCTGCAGTTGAAATTTCAAATACCTATGTGAAAAAGGTCATACAAAGTCATGCAACTGCAAATATAGATATTAACGTAAGACTGCTATTTAGTAAAATAAATACAGGTGGAATTCGAAGACAGTTTTGATGACGACATGTTTTAAATAGTAAGTATTTAGACCTGGGTAATGACATGTCTTGGTAATCCTAAAACTGTGAGCAGCAAGCGGAGAGTCGAGAGAGAGTGAAGAGCCATCCTCAAATCATTCTTCAAATGTAAGGATAATGTCAAACCCTGAGTAGAAATGCCTTTATTACGCAGTGGAGCGTTTTCCAGTTAATGAGTAACACTGTGACGCCCAATGGAATAGACGAGATCGGAACAAGCGTTGGAAACAACAATAATAAAGAAATATGAGTCAAAACAGGAAAAATTGTAGAGAGGAGATATTTCAGCAGGTCAATAAGAAAACTGTCAGTGACTACTAAAATGATATTATTATATTAGGCTATATATGATTTCTTACACGTCCTAAATAAAAAAGAACACTTACACTAAGAAACGTCTGAATTTTGAAATACCCTGGCCATATTTGGTAAAATTAACCCATCTGCATGTAAAAACATAAACGGACTAAAGTAAACAGTATTTTTATCCTGACCCAGTTTGAGACAGACAATAGCAGTACAGCAGCGGACACAGCCATATAAACTGGGCTATGTGAGTCATGGATTATAAATAGTTTATGTGTATAGGTAGATGCTGGAAATGCCTTCGTAGTGTGTTATTTCAAGGATAAGAATTAAATAAAGTTAAATAACATAACTTATAGTTACAGAGATGTTCTTGTTCTTGGTCTCCTACTGTCCCAGAGACCATATCGCCCCAGTGGCCACAGCAAAGATGGTAAAAATGAGAGTTAGATGGTTGTAAGTATCATTTTTTGGGGTATATATAATAGATATTATGAAGATCTGATCAGTGGTGATGTCAAAGAGTCTTATGTCAAAGAGTGAAAAAAGAAACAGGTTGATGTGTTGGTGAAGTACTCAAGTGAATTTTCATAAATAAGTGGTATTTACAGATGTCATGAATCTTGCATAGTTGGATCATCGAAGTTGTTAAAGCCGTTTTGAACACAACCACAAATAATAATGGACCGTAAATATAAAATATAATTTTAGCCGCAAGAAGTTTGCATTAGTGTCAATTAATAGCAATGGAGTTCCAAGTAAAACGAAAGTGGAACTACATAAGCCACCCACTTTGAAAAACTATTAGCTATAATAAAAACTACAGACTTGACCTTTTCTTCCCAGAAAACGGTTACTGAATCAGGCCAAAAAATAATAACAGCGTTATAAATGGCCTGTTCATACAACATGACTTACATGAGTCAGCCAGCTCGGTACCAAGTATTGTAAACATTTGTGTTTCCGTTGCGATATTATTATTATTAATTTCGGCTGTATTATGCAATAGTCAGTTGCTACGTTGTCTTCTTAAAGTTATCCGTTTGCTCGGTTTATTGGGATATTGAAATATATTTGTGGGTGTTGATTCAGCTCACGATTTATTTCAATACCTTCATTCATTTCAGATTGGGATCAACTACTACTGGGTGTAAGTTCCACCTTATGGTGGTTCCCCTTTTTTAGCAAACTGCTCGATTTTATGCCTATTCAGTATTAATAAATTTTATTGAATCAAGAAAGAGTTTACACAATTTTGTTTTACATAATGTTTATCATATAACTTTTTTTTTTCTTTGCCTTTGGATGTATTTATTTAAATATAATATTTACAACTTAAAATTAACTACAACTAAACTATTAAATAAAAAGAAAGTAAAAGAAAACAACAAAAATTATACCCTTAATTTAGGCGTCAAAGTATTCGTCCGCATCACTATCACAAGGGAAAGTTCCCAGAAGACTGGCAGCATTGCCACGTTGAATGGCAATGCTTATTTTCTGTCCGAAGAAAAAGCCAGCCCTCTGGTCACGTGTAGAGTCAATTAGCCTACGGGCGATGTCTTTAAACACAATTATTCAGTATTAAATCAGGACAATCTTCATGGATACTTAATTAAGACATTCGTAAATGCTGTCCGACATACGTTTAATTTGACTTTTACATACTACGACCAGAGATTATTTTTATTACACAAAGGACAAGTGGAATCTTGAACGAATTGAATGGCGACCATACCGGTGCAACCCATGCGCTTTACTGTCACTTTAACTTAGGCATTCCTAATAAACAGAATAGTTAAATTTGCGGATACTCAGTTCATTAATTAATCAAAGATTTTTGAAAATGAATGCATTTCCAAAAATTCATACAAATTGCTAAATTGATCTTTTTCCGGTTCAAGAGAAAATGTTTCTTTAGTTTTGTTTTTGGTAGTGTTATGACTACTAAGTTTCATAATGTGCTCTGAATTTAAAGAAGATTTAAATAGTTTTGTGTCGCGATTCGATTTCCGGTTATTGACGAGTTTGGAGCGGACGAATTTTTATTATGCTGTTTAGAGAATAATACCTAATCTGTCTCGGTGAGGCCGTTTAGTAGGCAGATTCATATTTGAATTCAATTCAATATTACACCACGATTAAGTTAGGACGATGATAAAATAGTAGCACCTTGTGGTACACCTACATTTTGCAAATGAAGTGAGCCTTCGATAAGGAAAATTTAAAAAAGGTTTTTACCAATATTCTCCTTGATCACGAGAATAGAAACTAAGAAAAATACTCTTTTTAAGATAGAATTGGAGGCTGTTAAGTGCTCTTAAGGGTGAAAGAGTAGACTTTGACTTTGACCTTCAACCCGGAAAATATTACCCGATAAGCCATTAGGTTGTCCGCTGTTCAGGAGGAGCGGATGACCTACACTTTTTTTAATAACATAACATAACATTACGCCTTTTTATCCCTGAAGGGGTAGGCAGAGGTGCACATTTCGGTACTTAATGCCACTGTGCAATGTAGCACCCA